ACACACACACACACACACACACACACACACACACACACACACACACACACACACCACTGCACCTCCATCTACCCAGAAAAACACCAAGATAAAATTTTAGATGACTCAGCTAAAGTCAAGCTAATCTCAGGAAAGAAGATGAGGAACTAGAGGGATGAGGATCAGCAGAYAACCTGTCCATGAAGAYCACAAAAACTAAAGGAAAATCAGGACTGACCTCACCGTCCTTTATACTGTACATCAACAGTGGCTGTGTAGGGATGGTTCACACCGTATTCTCAGCAGAAACCGATGACTCCGTCTTTTATGGGCAGGTCCAAAGGTGACAAGAAGTTTCCAAAACGACTGGGTGTAAGTTCCCTCTTTTCCTTCTGTTTTTAAACCCGTGAACAGATTTGTCTTGTGGAGATGTTTTTCTGTGATTTTGTTTTAAAGTGGAAATAAAAAGTGAAAGTTTCAGACACTCAATCTTGCTGTWTTTCTCAACACAGGTTCAGAAGAAGAGAAGGAGAAAATGGAATCTATAAGGGTCTTTGTCAAGGGCCTGGGGGGTAAAATGTCCGTGTTGGATCTGGGCAACACTGAGGAGATGGAGAACATGACCGTGCTGCAGCTGAAGGAGAAGGTAGCAGAAAAGGAAAGTGTTCCAGGTAAATTTAAAACACATATAAGACAATGTCCAATCTAAACACTGAAGGAAATTCTGCAGAATTATTGATTATTGTGACTGGATCGACACTATTTTTRAATTCCTCTGTGTTAAAGATCTGTTATCTACAAACCAGAAATATTTCTGAGCTCAAATCCACGGTTTCTTAAAAATAATATGAAGACAGTTATTTCAGCATTAATCACCTCCAGGTGGGATTAGTGTAAACCTCTGTACCAGTCTCTGCTGTCCCGTCAGACTGTGTCTCTCTGGTGTTTGTTTCCTCACTGACTTCCTGTTTGCTAAAAGAGCATTATGAGGTCTGATGTGAACTTTTTGAAACTCTCAGGTCCTTTTGGACATTCCTTCATGAGATTATCATGAGTTACTGACTGCATAGACAGAGCACTAATTCTGTACTTCATTTTTAAAAACCGTAACAAGTCAAAATATAAGTTAGTGAAATAATATAAATTTTAGATTTGYAATTTATTTATTTGTTTATGCTTGAAAAACACATTTTCCCTTCGTTTTCTCCCAATATTTTACTATCTTCTTTTTATCTTCATCTTTATTTCATTTTCTTTTAAACACTTGAGCTTGTGTTCATTTAGCTCCATGGTCTGGTTTCTGAAGAACTGAGACTCTTTACTGGTTCACTGCTTACCCTGGTTTGGTTTAATCTTTTACCTTCTCTTTAAAAAGTACTAGTAGCAGACCATATGGTTTATTGCTTGTATATTAATAACTATAATTCTAACTTTTGTTATATCTRTGTGTGTTTCAGTAAACAAGCAGCGGTTGATCTTCAATGGGCGGCAGATGAGAGACTCAGATTTGGTWTCTGAATATAAAGTTCAACATGGAGGCATTATACAGCTGGCTGTAAATCTGTGTGGTGGAGGTGAAACTCGAAGAAGTCTAGAGAATTTGGCTGACTTTTTGGACCCACAAGCATCAAAGCCTTAAGGACTAAAGTCATTTTTCTACTCAAATATTTGCCTAAACTCCCAGTCACTCTACTTAACCTATACTGTTCCTTTGAGGAGAAATACCCATTGAAACCCATTATAAAAGTGTTTTTTTTATCTCAAATTTATCATATTATAAAATGATGCATTCCTTTCACTTTTGTTTTTACCTTTTTGCCTCTACTGTAGATTGTTGTATTACTCCACTAGGTGATGCTCTGCTTTCATGTTTGAGATGCTGTAAAGCTGCAGCTGCTGAGTCTGGTCGATCACCAATAAACCTGTTTTAGTTTTGTAAAAATAAAAGCAAACTTGTGTTGTGCACAAGTTTATTATATAATGTGTAAAAAAATGCTTGTACCTTGAAGAATCATCCACCTTGTCTTTGTAGTTAATGWTGGCAGAGTTGTCAGCTTGACCAAAAACAAGGTCTTGTTGTCAGATGGACTGAGCTGCGCCAGCCCAGTTTTTTTTATTTATAGTTAAGATTTAGAAAAGAAGAACAGATTAAAAAAAAGAAACTGTAGTGAATTCACTTGAGCAGAAAACTACATCTTTTCAGTTGAAATGGGGAGAATGTTCTAATAACTCTGGACTGTATCTTTACAATTACATCCTTGTATAAAGATTAATTTGGTCATCTTAAAAGAGAAAAATGTAAATTGTGCATTTACCTGTCGACTAACATTGTTCATTTTTAACAACTAAAAATTCTGAACTGTCCCTTTAAAGTTTTTATGAAATCATTTGTAACCAAAGTGAACAGAAATGCTTTTCCTAGTTAATATGAAAGATCTTTCATTGGATTTTGCAACAATAGTTAACTTGTATGCCTATAAACCTTTCAGTGTTATTTTCAATAAATCGTGTTTTATATTGAAACTTTCTGCTGCCGTTCATTGTGTCCAGCTCACAGCAGAGGTGTGAGGATGAGCTGACTTCACTCAGTTAAAACAGAACTTTATTTACATTATCTCAGAAAAAAACAGGTCTCATGAATGAAACGTCAGCTACATCTCTAAACAGGAAATTCTTGTGCAAACAGCTTACAAACATGAACAAGAAGAAGGACTAAAACGTTCAGATTTAGAGAATCTTACTGTTAAAGGCTAGAAGACAGAAAAAAGTTAAGGTGAAATACTCGTGTGTGTTTAGTTTCTGCGCCACACAGGTATGGATGTTTGTCTGGGAGCCACTCCATCGCTGCAGGGGATGAAGTAGGAACTCGTCTGCAGACACTCAGGAGTGAGCTTCAGACACACGAAGCAAAACTCCACCTGACAGCGAGGGCAGATGATGTTCTTGCAGCCCGTCTTGTCGTGCTCCACCTTCTGACCGCAGGTGGGACAGGCTCTGATGGAGGGACAGGCGTCCACCCCCCGCACCTGAGGGAGGGCGGTGGTCTTGCAGGTCCTGAGCAGCTCGAGGTCGTGGTTGAGGCAGCCGTCACTGTCGCAGCGGTCGGAGCGTGGAGCTGGACCTTTCCACGGCATCAAACACTGCCAGCAGAACTGGACCACTTTCTTTTTATCCGCTGTGCACACTAAGCACTGCGCGCAGAGGTTGGTCAGGTCCTCACGTTCAACGTAGGACTTACAGCCAGGGCACTGTCGGGGAAAAATAAAGTCTTCAACACTGCAGGAAACTGAAGTTGATTACAATTTCTAATACTGATTTGAAGGTCACTCACTGATTTGAAGTCACAGTACTGCATGGCAGCCAGACGAGCAATGTTCTTCTCAAAGTGCTGCATTTCCTTCGGTGTCAGGACGGCCAGCCGGCGCACTTCTTGGTAAGACCAGACTGCACCGCATTGTTGCATGGTTTCTTCCTCTAAAGCAGGGCACTTAAATTTGTACTGGCCCTGAAAAAAATTAGAACAAAATGAAACTGGTTGTGATGCTGCACAGGAACCATTTCCTGCATTTCATCAGTTTTGGTAAAAATAACTCTCTTGACTAGGGATGCACGATATATCGGCATTCATATCGGTATCGGCCTGATGTGTAAAACTGGGCCGATATGAACGTCCGATATTGATTTCCCACTTTTATCTTTGTGTTTCTGTTTTGGAGAGGAGATGGTTGGTTGAGCAGCATCTGTTTGATCATGATAGTGATATTGATGCTGCGCAGCAGGAATAACTGAAGTAGAGCCATGTCAGAGGTCTGGTTGTTTATTTACGTATCAAAAAGACCCAAGTGTATTTGTGCGTATATTTATAATATAATTTGTGTGTTTGAGTAATATCAGTAATTATTGGTTATCGGCCATAACAGCAATAATTATATCGGCTGAAATTTTCATATTGGTGCATCTCTGCTCTTGACGCTCTCTGTCCTTTGGTTTCATTCGTGCATCCTGCTGTCAGAAGTCTTTGGTCAACTTTTGTTTTAAATGTGTTATAAATAAATTGACATTACTTTTCTCAATCCCTATCAGGAGCAAACAAAACACCTGTTATGACTGACAGGAGGAAMAGGTGTCATATTTAGCTTTTTACAATAAGTCTGTCCAGTTTTGTGTCACTAATCACAGCAGGTAAATGACCTCCATTAAGTTTGGACAACTGAAACACTTCACAAACATACAGTTTAACAGTAAAGAAGTCTAAATGAGAACGCAGAAGTAAATTTTCTAGAGAGATGGTGGAAAGTACCTGATCTAGCAGGCTGCGACACCATCCRGTGAGTGACTGTGGTGTGACAGCGTGACCACAGGACATCTCTGCTCGGAGACACTGGTCTCCCTCTTCAGGGGCTGAGGGGCACAAAATTTAGCAAATGTACCAAGAGTGTGAGGAAAACACTAAGTTAGAGCTAATATGCAGGAACTGAAAGTAACAAACATGTAATAAGAACATTTGAATAACAATGACAGTTTTGAGTCCTTACGCATTGGATCCAGATCATCGGGTCTTTTGACAAATTTCAGCGTTGTGTCTCGGGCGTCATATTGTTTCTGGTTCTGGTCCTGTGTGCTCATTGTGGCTCAGATCAGCTCTTCTGCTTCCTGTCAGAAAGGAATCCTCTTCAGTCTGTCTGGTTCACTCTGAAGTTGCTGCTGTGTCTGTTTCTTTTTTCACTTTCACTTAGCTCCTGTTGTTTAGGAGAAGTCACGTCAAACCAAAAAGACCAAACCCACCGTACACATCTTGAACACACCCTGATCATGTGACCTCTGCTGGAAAACAAGGTGATTTCCAGAAATCATACCACAGCATGAACAGATACAAGGAAACTGAATAAACAGGGGTAAATAAAGCAAGTCATTAAATCATAAAAACAAAGTCCACATGGAGCTAGATGTGCTTTTGATACACAAACACCTACTAACAACTAATATTTATGTTGATGCCTTCCAGGTGAGAAAGCTTTAAGTGTAGCAAAAACAATTATAAACAATTGATAATCAGAAAAATGACCTTTTCTGTGAAAATCTGTGAAGGCTGAAGAAAAGTTGTTTCCTTCTCTCCTACCTCCCCTATCTTTCCTGCTTGCTGTGTGTTATGTCTAGCTTGCTGAGCGTTTCCTTTGCAAACTTTTCTCAATATGCTATTTTTATTTTTATGGATTTGGTTAGCTGGTCTCTTAATGAAAGTTTGGATCAAATTTATTCCAAGGGGGGACCTTTGTTTGGCTGGGACAACTAGCTGGAWATATCCTTGTTCCTGTAGACGTGGCCCACGTGRGAACTGATATGCTTGGCTGATTTATCTCTGGAGGCTTGGGTGGAATGCGCACACCAATTCGTCTGATTGGATTTGCCACCTTGGGATGTACCAGCAGACATTAAAACAGAAGAAAAAACATTTTCTTGCTATTTGCATTTGGCTCCATGATTCAGCCTTGGCGTGCTGATTATCTTAAATTCTCCCTGATGGTATGTAAACAAGACGCTTCTCATCCGCACTCCTATCTACACCTGCAGCTTTGACTTAGGCTCAATGCCGACTGATGAACTTTACTCCATCTATCAGGACAATGGTAGAATGTTACCTAAGCAGTGGTGCACAGACTCACATTACATTGCACACATGTACACACACACTTCACAAAGACCATCAACCCCCTGCACTGCACCTTCTCCACCAGCAAATGTGTTTTTGTTTGTGTTCCCCGCTCTGTTGCACAGGTCTTCCTCTGTTTTCTGTATGTTTGTTTGTTGTAACTTATATAGTGCTGAAATGTGATTGTCTTCTGGGACTTATAAAGCAATTGTTAGTATATTACACAGCCAATATATTATGCATTATACTTAACTACACTTAAACCAGATTAGTACCATGAAACTACAAACCCAGAGATTAATACACAGAAAGTATGTTATGATGTCTTAGATTACATTATTTACCTAATATATTATAATGTCTTATTCTGCCTTTTTTCTTTGTCTTATTTGTTTGTATCATTTCTTAAATCATGTAAAGAATTTTGTATCGCCTTGCTGCTAAAAAGTGCTTTATAAATAAACATTACCTTACATAATGTAGAGCTATATATATA